TATAATACAATCTTATGTAATAGTATTTTTTATTTTATTTTTCAACGTTTCGACCTACATTGTAGGTCTTCTTCAGGGCATTCCATCTGGCACTGCCGATAGAAGTTTGAAGACTGGCCAACCTCAAGTTTTCTCCTGATAAACCTCAAATTAATTAATATGGACTTAAAGGTTATTAAATGTGGAAGTTTTTCTAAAAATGGAGTATCTATATTTTTTAGTAGATCTCGAGTTCTGCTATCATTCCTGTAAATATTCCACTATACTTATGAGATACCCTATGTATTAGAATATCTCTATGTGTGGTAGAAGAGAAGTAGACTGATTGAATTAAAACTAACGAAGGCTAAAACAATTAACGTAATTCCTACATCAATCTCTTCCTACTCCAATGCTGTCATCATTCGTTAATCAATGCGTTAAATAGTACGAAAAAAAATTTAGATAATAAGCTGATAAACGGCGTTTATATATTTTTGTTTTGTTTTTTACTGATAGTCGAAAGGATTTTATCCTTAACCTCTGTTTCACATGAAAAATATCTCCAGATATAACCGTAATGAGACAAATATTTGTATTATTAACACAATGTATAAACGGGTGTAAAAGAATTAGAGTTTTATACGGTAAGCATATTTATTAAAATATAATCCATCATATACTCATCAAAATCTGAGACTAAGTGTCGTATAAACAGTCTTTTTTCGGACTCTACTGGCACATTCTGCCAAAAAGGAATACTTTAATGAAACTCAATGAAAAAGGTCTCTTTTCAGCCAATTTGATGTATTTTGTTATCTTAAAAATTTCAAGGAAAACGGGTTAAAGTTTCGGTTGAGCATCAAGTAAGCAAAGGAAGTAACGGAACTATTTCGAATTACAATTACGTTATTGTTTTATAGAAACGTCTCTGCGACTCTAATTGGATGAAAGGAATACTTTTTCAATGAGTTTCATAAAAGTATTATTTTTTGACAAAACTTCCAAATGGATTCAGAAAAATAACTGTGCATCCCTCACTTACTGAATCAGACTTAATTTCGAAACTAAAAAAAATTAAATTTAACCGGACCGTGTAAAAAAGTTTTCCTCTTAATTACTGTCCAATTTTATGCGAAATACTCACTTTTTTCAATTTTTTAAAAATAATTACGAATGAATTTCAATATGCTTATTCCACCAATCAAATAAAACGTTAAGACTTTCGTTAAACTGATTTAGTACACATAAGCGGTATTTGAAAAAACATATATCGTCGGTTTATTTCAAATATTCATTAAATGAGCCATTAATGACTAATTTTTCTTTTATGAATTCAAAAAATTTCGCGCTTATATTATAGTAACTGTATTTTATGTAGAATGCTTTTCCCTCAAAACTTGCGAAGAACAAGTCTGGCTCGAATTTTCTTCGCCCAATTGTAAATAGTGTACATAGATATCTATTTGATATTTTTTATATATTTATTTTTAGGTTATTTTATTCTTATTTATTGTGTATGTATATATATATATATATATATATATATATATATATATATATATATATATATAATTTTTCTGTATAATTTATTTTTATTAATTGTACATAGTGTGTGAATGTGATCTCTGAATACTATCATAAATGTCCTTTGAGACAGATTGTAATATTTTTTAATAAATAAGTAAAAAAAAAGAGTTATTTAAAAAAGTTTTGTGTGGATTAAAATATATCAGAAATTATTAATCGTAGAAATTAAAAATCGGACATGCCTACTGTAAGCAAGGAAAATTGTTAGTACTTCATCCTCTTTGTAATTAGCTATTATTAAAAAATATATCTTGACACGATATAAAGAGACAGAAAGGGAAAAAGATACTGTCAAAAACTAAACGAGTTTTTTTTTTTTTTTATTATTCGGATTAAAATATCTCAAAAACTAAAATTCGGACCTGGATGCTGTAAGCGAGGATAATGTTCAGCATTTTATCCTCTTTGCAATAAGCTCTAATTCAAAATTGTATTTTGAAGTGATTCCGAGTTAGTGAGTCGTAATTTATTAACAGTTATAGTTGCATATAATGTAAATGTTATTAATTTTTGTGAATATAGAAAAAATAATTAAATTTCTTATTATTAATCGCTTCTTGTTGATGTTTTCATTTGTACGGTCTTAAGCACACATCCTATTTTTTTTTTTTCCGAAAATGTACGGTATATAAATTAGAAGATCTTTGAAGAAAAGACATTAGGCAAGTTTCATCAAAATTGTTAGATCTGTTTTAACACTTCTAGTATTATAATTCTTACTTTATATATATATGATGTCTCAATTTATTATTGAAACTTGGTCCGATGTCTAGGAATGCTTTCATATGCAACCCTTCAAACGATTTTGACCTCGCCTGTCACAACAGATATTGTAAAATGCAAATGATCAGGAATACACTTTATCTTGGCTTATAGTCAAGTACACCCAACCAAAACGTTACCGTGACGTGAAATGTGCAATGTACTTTAGTCTTCTAATTTTATTGGCAGCTTATCGTCCTAATTTCTCTTCTTATTACCATCAAAACATAATACTGTAGTAATAAATTTATACTTGGTTTAAATTTAACCAAGAATAATCTAAATTATTATATAAATAATTAAAGAAGGCATTTTGTATCGAAAAAAAAATAAATAAAAGCTTTGAAAAATAATATATAAAAATCATTTAAAAAATTGTATAATTAAAATAAGATTAAGAAATGGACTTATTCAAAGTTTTCATTAAAAAAAAAAAAAAAAACGATTTATTATGATAGTTAATAATAAGCTAATCGGTTAGAACAAAGTCAGATTAGAAGTACGTCAAAACATATTTATTTATTTTTTTTCATACAACTTTACCCACATGTCAACATTCAAACAGACAAAAATCTGTAAGTAAAGATTACAAAATATTACATACATTAAAAAAAAAATTTCTAGAATATAAACCAACCAAAGAATAATACATATTAAAATGTTTCTCGTGACATTATTATTATTATTATTCAAGTATTGGATAGTAAATATATGTTATAGTTTACAGACTTCTGCGTCCTAATATATAAATGCAACTAAAAGCAAGGTAAATAAGATACTAAAAATAATAAATAAAATAATCTTTACTAAAAAAAGTATAAAAACTGAAAAAAATAACCCGAGATAAACTGATAGATTAAATTGGTCAATGACCAGTCGGTTCCTGAATCTTATTAGTCTTGTAAACAGAAATTGTTCTCATTTTCATTGCGTAAACGCAAACATAAAATAATCTTGTAATTTTGTTTTAAATAATTAATTTTTTTTTGTATTTATTAAAACTTGGCCAAGATGAGAAAAGAACTTTTTTTACGATATCTACTTCAGTATCGTATAGTAGAAAATGTAATATTTTTTTTTTTTTTATAAGTAACCAAAATTAACTGTTGATATTATTAAGAAATAATGCACAAAACGTAAGTAGATAATCGATAAATCAGAAATTTTTATTTATTTTTAGCTAGCTTAAAAGCTCCGGACTATGCACAAAATTCAATAATAATAAGCTTGACAAACAGGCAAATTAGAATTAAATTACAAATTTTTTTTTCTTCGTATCTTTATACAAACACTGCCATAAGCTTGACAGTAAGCATATGGGCATTTTAGGCCTGAGGATAATTAAAATTTAAATCAAAATCAATGAAATTTAAATAAAGAATCATCAGAAAGTTAAACTAAATTTTTAAATTACAATTTAAATCAAAATGTAATTTAACTTTCTGGTGATCCTTTAAATGTAATTACTTTCCATTTAATTATAAATATTCTTCATACCCGAATTTCAAAAGGCAATAATTTAATGTTCTTCAAACAGTCGAAAAAAGTAATTTTTTAAAGATTAAAGTTGATTTTTGTTCAATATCTAGGTAAGCAGTATTTGAATTTATCTGTTAGTTAGTTATTGTGTTATTATATGATTTTTCGTTGATTTTTATCTGGGATCGTAACTTTAATGAAACTTTTTTTTAAAAATTTCATTTTAACAGTTTTTGTGAATTTTTTTTGTAAAAAAGTAAAGGTTGTAGGGAACTTTTTTGTAATAAAATTCTGAGTTTATGGTAAAAGTTCAACTTTTATGTATTCAAGTTCTGAAAAAAAAAGTTACGCTAAATGAGAAATAAGTAGTAGTTGTGCTTAGATTAGACTTCGAATTCATCTTAAATGAATCATCCAACTCAAATGTTTCGTTTAATTGATTAACAAAGAATAAAAGTATTTTTTTATATAGACTTTGTAGCGAAATTAACAGAAATTTTAAATGGAAGCTTTTTAAAAATAAAAGTCCTGCTAAACTTTTACTTGGAAGGTTGCAAGAGAAAAAGTTGTAATTCAGAAATAAAGAAAAAAAAGAATATATTCCAGTCGTACGGAACCTGATTAAATATAAAATTTTGAATCCTGATTTTTAATAATAGTTATTCGGATTTTAAATTGAACTAATACGATGTTAACAATGAAAAAACATTTTAAACGATGTTAAAAACGGGTAATTACAATAAAAAATCAACTTAAGTAATAAGTTATCAAGCGTTATATACATGAATATTTTTCCGATGAAAGTTCTATAAAATTTTTAAGTAAATTGACATTATTAATATAATTCAAAATATTTTAATGACTGTCAAACACAGAGGTAGTAGGGAGAATTTCGTATTTTTGTATCTTAATGTATCAATTAATCATGTTAACACACTGAAAAAATAGAAAAATAAATGGATATTAGTTGTCAACAGAAAGAGTGTCTTATTTACAATTGTTTATAGCAATGTCTAAGATAAATGAAGAACTTGGAAACAAGTCTTCTACACATGATATTAAGTCGATGGCAGTTGGTAATATGCAGTGGTAGCTAGATATATAGATACTATAGATAATATAATCAAGATAATATATAATAGATATTACTATGATATCATATAGAGAAGATAGTAAATTCATCTACTTACCAGGAGGACGACTGAGAGTGAAATGTGTTGGTTGGTCAGCTGTACCCCCACTTCTCCTCTGTCTTATCACAGCTTCAGCATATGTCTTCTATCTTTAGCTCCCGCTGGTTCGTTACACTGTTCCTTATGTCATCCTACCAAAGGAAAAACGGCTACATCATGCACTTTAGACTATTTACATCGGCTTTAGTTCTCAAAACAACGGTTGCTAGAGTAGTTCAAAGGCATTCCTCTTCCAAAAAGACACCGAATCAAGAAGCACTACGGTAAAAATACAACGTGAGTGTCGGTAATCCTAGTTGTATCCAACAAGCATCCAGCGTATTGATATAACGCTAAAAATATAATTTTAAACAATGATAAAAAAGGCATAATGGATGATGGCAGTGATCAAATCAGTTAAGACATCACGCAATTGTGCCAACTGTTTTATAGTGTACCTAGTAATAACACAGAACTATTTCTTGCCTACAAGTTCCAGCTTATTGCATGCCGTAAGCTCCGAATGAAATAATGACACACACACACACACACACACACACACACATATATATATATATATATATATATATATATATATATATATATATATATATAATCAACCTTCTCCAGTTCAAATCCTCAGTCCATTCCCTGTCTACAAGATCTCGACCTTCTAACCTTTACATGCCTTCTCACAGATCTGCCTCATTCCAAAATTCCTTTGTTGTTCGCTCTGTCAATTTCTGGTATTCCATCCCTATCAAAATTCGACATCTCCCATCCATATCCACATTCAAAACCCTCCTATCCCAAAAACAGTCAGATAGTTGCTAACCATTCGAGCTGATTTTAATAGAGAATTTGATACATTTTTATTTTTTAATTCTTTATTATTTTATTAAAAGTGTATACTGGTCTATCAGTGCAAATAGCTTCAAGTGTCTTGTCATAGTATTAATTGTTTTGTTTATAGTTTCGTTTGTTTTGTATATAGAATGTTTACCTTATATATTTTTTACATTATTTCTTTTTTTTCGATTTATTTTATTTTGGCCAGATGTAATCTTTTGATTTTGTTCTATTTTGTTATTCTCAAGGAGCTGTGTCCCAGAATAAAGTTATTTTTCTATCTATCTATCTGTATAATATATATATAGTTATATACATATGTGTGTGATTTATATATATGTATATACAGGGTGTTTCAGGGTTAAGAGGTCAAACTGCAAAAATGAACTAAGGACCTCAAAAAAAAAAAAAAAAAAAATCCTCTGAGGGTATATCCCCAAACACTTTGTTTAGGAGATATTCACATCTAAAGATTTTCGTTGTTATGAATTATTTAATTTATATGAAATAAATAAAACATATTTCTTTGTTCTAACTACTTTATTAAGCTAAATCAAGTTGAGCGTGATCCACAATTTTCTAGGAAAATTCTCTTGACAGATGAAGCTAACTTTACAAAAAGAAGCATCTTCCATCAGAAAAATAACCATCTTTGGTAGCAGCAAAATCCCCATGCAATTAGTAAGCATCGCTTTCAACAGCAGTTTAAGTCCAATGTGTGGTTGGGGATAATAGACAATATTTTAATAGGTCCGCATTTCTTGACGTCTCGACTCAATGCAGGCACATTTCTGGAATATATTAATAATGATTACTATGATTTAGTTGGACATATTCCACTACAACTGAGAAGGGACATGAGACCTCAATTAGATGGTTATACTGCACACGAAAAAGGTCCAGAACGGAACAATTTAAAACAAAATGTAGGTTTATTCTGATTGATGTTCTCTAACTGGTCTCAAATGGCTAATTTTCAATATTACCTTCCTCTAAAGTAGCTTTAATTTGAATTTGAAACAATTGATCTTTTCACATTAATCTATAATATAAAAGATAGTGAAATATAAAATATGAAAGAATTTGATAATTAAATAAAGGAGAAATAAGAGATCGTAACGGAGAATAGTTGTAATTGGGGAACCAAAGGAATACGAGGGCACCCGAACTAACCCAAAAGATTAGAACACGCTTCCATACGTAACACGAGCTTAATATAATATGAATTCTGACAATATTATAAAAAAAACGCTGCAAATTATTTCACAATCCTTTATTATTTCCAAACAATTATACATCTAAAGCAACATTACCTTCCAAGTTACAAAGAAAAAAAAAACAAAAGGTGATTCCAATTATTGGACTAAACTGTTTTTCTTTAATCATTAGTAATATGCTAAAAAAAAAAAAAAGCATTAGTTCAGTAACACATTCAAAATTTAAAAACCAAACTAAGTATATAACATTTGGAGTAGAACATATAAAAAAAAACCGGAGACCATATCTTTGCTCCTAATTGTTCGATTTTAATGATTTTTTTTTTGTTTTTTAGGAAATTTCATAAACTTTTAAAAAAACTATAAAAATATAAACAAAAAAGTAAAAACCTTTTGAGTTATTGGGAATTTAATTTTTTCATCCCTCGTAACTTTTTTTCCAGCTTCTTTTCGTTGAAGTATGTTATATAGATAAATTTAAAGGGAGTCGAGAAAATGACTTTAGAGAAGTTTCATTGAAATCTGTACATTCGTTTAGGAGCTACGGTCTATAGCAACGCAGGTTTTTCGGCCGTAATTTTTAAAGTTAAAGGCGGAGAGTAATGTCGATGAAGGAGGATCATCCTCGGGTGACTTCTGATTTTATATCAAAATTTGAAAAACATCGGTATAGTAGTTTTGGAGAAAATGCGAGGACGGCGGACGGACAAAAAAATTTTTATTCGTTTTTCGAATTCTACGCGTCCTGAAACGTGAAACCTCAAATTTTGAGAGGGGGTTAAGTTTTTGAATTATTTGGTCGATAACAATGGGTGATTATTGAAAATGATAAACCAATATACATATGCGGTTTTCATAAATGCGATTGTTGGTATTATTTAATATTTGATTGTATAGATTACAGACATATAATTATTAAAATTTGTATGTATAAGGGTACTTGTACAAATAAAAATACTCACAATGAAATATGAATAAATATAGCGTCTATAATTTTTACTTTCACTTCCCCTTTCTCTGAAAATACTCTTTTCTGCTAGGAGGGTGGAAAGTGAAAGTTGTGTGATGCGCGCAAAGCACCAGATGTTTAGTTTTTGAGATATTTTGATCCATATGCAAAAACACTTCAATTAGGCGACTCCAGCTGACTTTACCCGAGCGTTACACATCGGAGATCTTACGGCTCGATATAATTCATTCTTCACGAAAAAAATTCAAAGCCTAAGAAGTTTTCACTTAAAAAAATGATCGAAAAGGAATATAAAAAAAAAAAGAAGGAAAATATGATTCCGAAAGTAAAGAGTGTTCTATCTACTTCTAATTTCTATGCAGTTCTAGTCATATGTTGCAATTGAACATGATTTTTTACAACGGTGTGCTTGGTTATGTACATTATTAGGCTAGACAACCTCTGCTGTTAGATAGTGTTGCGAATACCCATGCTGTGGAGTGCGTCATGTACAATAGCGTATCGAGCCTTTGTCTAGTCCTATGTGTATTTGTTTTATCAAGAACATCTCTTCCGCTCCCGATAGCAGAACTAGAGGTATGTCGTATAGCTCATAACCTAACTCCTCAGGTATCAACTAGCAAAGATTCGTCAATAAAACTAGATTCAAAACAACCTAGCAACAATAAAGTAACAATACTCAACAACAAAGTTGAAGTTGCATACTATAACTTGTAACAAACACGTTAACAATATATCTACATTGATGGACAAAATTAGCGCATTATATACTATATTTGTAAGACCGTTTATCAATAATTAAAAGTATATAGGAAGGTTATAATAAATATAGGGTATGTAAAATTTCAATTTGAAAATGAATAGTTCTTTATTTATCTTTTTATCTCCGCTCAATCCTTTTAGTAGTAATCTTAGTTTGGTCTAGTTCGATTTTCTCTTTTAGCAGTATTTTTTAAAAACATTTCAATGACTTGTAACTCCTTTAAGGGCCCCTTACACGATCAATGTTATTGAAGCAATATAATTGTAGGCAATATATTGAAGGAGTACTTTACATGGGTCAATTATATTGAATCAATATTATATCAGTTAAGATCTTGCTTCCACTGAAAAAGGAGATTTCCAAAGAGGTAATCTTTTTTTTTGTGGAAATGAATAATAATGAATTTCCTATTACTTTAAATGAATCAGTTTGATTGAACTCAATATAATTGATGCAAATTTAGCCCATACACGGTCAATATATTTACGAAACTCAATATTTGTAAGTTAGGGGCCATTTAGAACTGACATGCATTAACGTAAAATGTGAAGAAAAAAATAATTGTATTAATAAAAATTAATATATGTATGTAAATGAATATATATACATAGAGAGTTAGAGCAATATAATTATAATGTTTATATAAAAATTATTTTTTTCTGCAAATTCTCGGAATCGACGTATAAAGTTATAACTGATCTAATTTTTTGAACATTGAAGATAAACTATTAAAATAATCTATATTCTTGAAAAAAATTTAATTATTAAAAACTTTCTTCTGCACGACTTAACCGAAAAAATAAGCAATCAAGAGTTAGCTAGTTAAATACAGTAAATATGTGTATATATATATATATATATATTTTTTTTTTTTTTTTTTCTCTTTTGTTCTTTTTTCTTATTCTTTTGTTATTACTTTATTTATTTATATTTTTGTATATACGGTATGAATGTACTCTCTGAACTCTATTATAAGTGTCCTTAACTGTGACAAATTGTAATATTTCTCAATAAAGTGTTTAAAAAAAAAAATACAGTAAAAAACGTGACGTAAAATTTTTTTCCACACATTTGTGATAGTTGAGGACGGATATCTCGGAAACATAGCGAGGTAGCGAAAAAGGGTATATTAAACAATCATATTGCAAATTTTATCATCTTTAATTTTGTATAGAACATCTCTGTCGATGCGATGGATAGTTTTCCTTTTATAAGCGAAAACTCTCAAAACAGCAATAAACACAAGACAATTTTTTTTTTTTTCAAAATTAGACAAAGTTGAGGACGGATATCTCGGATACTAAGCCAGATAGCGAAAAAAGGAATATAACCAATCATATTGAAAATTTTATCAGCTTTAATTTTATGCAGAACGTTTTTCTCGATGCGATGTATAGTTTTCCTAATATAGGCGAAAAGCCGAAAAAAGTTATCTAGGCACCCCCCCACATCTAGGTCACCACATATGAGCGGGAACTTTTGGTATGTTTACCTTCTTACTAGTCCAAACAATGTCCCAAAGCACGGGGGGAGGGGCTTTCGGGCTGAAGCCCCCCCCCCCAAAATGGTAAAATATAACCATGTTTTTTGGAAAAAAAAATTAAAAAATATTTCTTAAAGTATTATTGTTCGTGTAATTACATTTAAAAGGACTTAAGGAATCACTTAAACACAATTTCATATAGGTAGTTAGTTTCTTTCTGTTTTTCCAAAGTAATTATCGTTATTTTTATGAAAAAAAAGCTTTCGGGCTGAAGCCCCCCCCAAAATTAAATCCTGGATCCGCTAGTGTCCCAAAGTCAAAAATTGTCTCTGCCATTTCCTACTATAATCATTCATTAATTGGATTGTGTGTAATGTGCTACTATAAGTTAGGACATTGCTACAACTTTCTGTACTATATTTTTTAATTACACTCAAAATTAAAATATGGTTTATTTTATCATTATGTATTACACAGTAATTAAAAATTATAGTATTCTCATCACTAATAATTTATTTAAGGAGAATTGGAGAGGGAGGTATATGATCAAAAAAAGAAAAGGAGCACCGTAAATTTCATCATTGTAATTATTTTAACTGAAGTTTTTTACCAGAATAAAATTATTTTTTCATTTAATTTAATGTTTTTTTAAAATTTTATTTCAATGTATTGGATTTAGACCAAAATGTCAACAAACATTAAGAGTTAGTTAACATTCACTGTATGTTTTCTTTCTTTATCGTCACCCCTTCATCTAACTTCTTAAATTAAATACGTCTACAGTCTATGATATCTCCATCATTAAGTATTTGAACTTTTTGGTTTCAGATACCAGACCAATCTAACGATGTGTCTAAAATTAATGCTCCTGGAAGTGGTTAGTATTCAACATATTTTTTACATATAAATACAAAACGATAGTACTGTTTATTTAACATAGGTATGAATGTGTTTTATATATTTTAATTTCATTTAGCTTTTCTCTATTTTTTTTTTCTCTCTTGTTTTATTTTTTTTATTATTATTTTTTTTTTACTTATGTATGTTAAACTCTTTATCTTTGATCTCTATTTTAGTTATCATTTGTATGTATATATTGTGTGAATGTTTAATGTAGCTCTAATATTAATGCCCTCCAATGCGGCAGAGTGTATTAATTTTCAAATAAAAAAAAATAAAATAAAATAATTTATTTAACTGTCATTAGATTGAATTTTCTAAAAATAAATTAGTTCGAGACTAATGCTTATAGGGATTGTATTATTTATAGTAAATAGTGCTTTAGTTATTGGTGGATCTTTAGTGATAGTAATGAATAATATTGGTAATTTATATTTAGATTAAAACTTTGATTCTGGCATTCTGGCAATGAATTAAGATCTTTTTTACATAATTAATTTATACTGAAAATTGTATAGTAACTTTCTTCGAAGTCAATTTGAACTCATTTATTATGGCAAAAAATAATAATACTAGTGGTTATTGAAAAATAATTATATATATATTTATAAAATTTCTTTAATCAACCTTTGAGTATTATATTTTAAAATAATTATTTGATTGGGAATAAGGTCACTTAATAATTTTTCAATAAACTACAAAATGTTCATTGCTTCTCTGTTTATTCAACGTTTTGATCCCGGTTTCTTATAAGTTAACAATGGGATCCTCTTCAAAGCTAGAATAACAAATAGTTCAATCAGTACACAATTATGCTTCCATATGTTTCCAATAATAATTATCAGTTATTCTATATGTTGTTCTAGCTATGAAGGGGATCCCATTGTTAACTTATAAAAAACCGGGATCGAAACGTTGAATAAACACAGAAGCAAGAACATTTAGTAATTTATTGAATAATTATTAAGTGACCTTATTCGCAATTAAATAATCATTTAAACAGTTTAACTGCTCAAAATAATTGGTAATGGAATTAACCATTTTTCAGTTGTTTTTTTTGTTTTTTTTAAATAACAGTTTTTAAAATTTAGAGAAAAAATAGATTAACAAGCATCTTAGTAAAAAAAAATTGTTCATAAAAATAAAATATTTTACTGATGATTTAATTGTTCAAAATGCACTATCACATTTTACATGCAGTAATTATTCAATTTAAACAAAATATTTTTACATTATACCAAGATTTTTTAATTGAAAATAATACTTGAAATTAGTTTTTAAAGAAAGATTAAATAAGGAAAAAATTATTTAAATAAATAAAATACAAAATTCATGGAATAAATTAAGTTATTAATTTCCCATATTAATCCAATCGTTATTCAGTTTAAAAACAATAAAAAGATCTACTAGTAATGATAAGTTGAGGCTACTAGTAAAGATCTATTAGTATTGATAAATATCAGTTGACTAAGCAATTATTACTTTCAATTCTTATCAAGATATTCACTATACAATACAAAGCTACTTACATACCAATTACAGAAAAAATATTTTAGATTGCTATCAAGATCACAGTAAGCTTCTGCTCACTGTGTCAAGCTATTTATAATTTCAGGCAGCATTTATTAGGCCTATCCTAAATTAATAAAATAAAGCTGTTTAAATTTACATGATTTGTTCATTCTGTTAGCCCTCGAAGAGAACGACAATGACCCTCCGGTCTATATCATGGTTCCAGTGGTCGGAGACCGATCGCGACGCGGTGCTGATGATAGGAAAGTTGTCAATCTCGATAATGTTTCTTACGAAGTTCCTACATTCATCAAGTTCAATGAAAGTGCCAAAGGTGACATCGAGGTGAGCCTCATTCCAAATCCTGACAGCAACTTACCGCAAGCCGTTCCACAGAACCCTAATGCAAATGGAAACGGGTATGGAAATAATGGAGCTCCAAATAACAACTACTGCCCTCCTCTGAATAATAATAATAATAAGTCGCAGCCTATGCAACCCGTCTGCCTCACCCTAAATATTGACAATATTTTCCCGCCTGGAAAAAAGATTTCAGTTACCAACTCTAGTGAGATCAAAGGGACAGGAGCTGTATTAAGAATCAAATTCTCGGATGCAAAGTTTGATGATTGTAAATCAACTGACCTTTTAGGAGCAGGATTGGACCAAGCACTCAGGCAGAGGTTGGATTCACAGAAAAAGAGGAAGGTAAGCCTTTATTAATTTTCAAATTTAGTTTGTTTTTCAAAACCATTGCAGATATTAGAAATCTGGATGTGGGTGGGTCATTTCAAAATTTCTGTCACATTATTTGGCCGTCTACTTTTTCTAAATAGAGAGAAATAGCATATTTTTCCACTTCTTAGCAATCCTTACAGTTGTTTTAGAAATTTACTAATGTGAGCATATATAATCATCAACATAACGATAGATACATCATTTTGAAAACAATAAGAAAATTCTCTCAGAGTATATGAGGTCTATTAACACCATACTATAATATTTTAATTTAATACATTGTCAGTAAATAATTGTTTAGTTTAATTTGTTAAATTTCACTTTTTTTTTTTTTTGTTTTGAGATTTGCACTAAATGAATGACGAATTGACAGGCGTTGCCAAGAAAAAGAATGTCTATAAAGGGGGAACTACTGTCAATTATTTGTAACCTTAGTCCCTAGACTTAGGGATTTTCCAGGGAGTGTGAAGTTGAGGGTGAGGATTTGATGGGCACAAAAACTTACATGACTTTGGAAACAAGTTATTCAAAATAATTTTAAACAAATTACTATAAAACTTCACTCACTGTATAAACATTGGTTAAAATTGCCTTAAACTTAAAGAAAAAACAATTAAAAACAAAGATCTATTTTAGAAAAAAATAACAGAGGACAGGATCTCAAAGAAATGTTGGTCCTTGACACATAGCAAAACAGGATTTTTCTTTTGACTTCTTTTAGTCTAACTTTTAAAATATTTCTAGGAAGTGTGCTTTAACACCAATGACACTCATAAATTAATATATTTTTTAATGTGAATATCGAGATTAGCCATCAAATCATTTCTCAATAGACATAGATTTAAAACCCCCCTCATAAATTAGTTCACAATATATAGCATACTATGTTAGTAATTCTGTGTTGCGAAACCTCCCCAGAGTGATAATTCAGCATTTCATGTATTTTTACTGTAATATGGTGCAAATACTTTGTAATCCCTCGTGGCACTTAATTTCTATGTACATTCAATGTTCCCATTATGTTTAATATCATGGTAAATAAACATTTTCAAAATAATTTGTGCCATTTGTATGGGTTACTACCAAGGAAATAACTGTGATGTGGTCAAGAAAGATACATAAGGTAAGATACAACATTTATTTAAAGTGTGCCAACTTTCCAAGTTAAATTGAAGAGCTAAGCTACTAAGAAAAATAAGCTACATTTATATAACAAATAAGAAAAAATATAGTAAGAATTACATTAGAGAATATGAATCAAGAAAATAATATAAATATAAATATACAAAACATTAAATAGTAGATGATAAAAAAATTAAATAATGGCAAATGAATGAAACTTAAAACATATAATATAATATATAAAAATACAACTGCTGTATGTATAAAAGTGTAAATAAGAAAAATTTGATGATAATAAAAGATTAAAATAAAGTAGAAGAGAAAGAAAGAAAAACAGCAACATATAAGTGAAAAGGCGAATATGGTAGATGAACAATACCTTGATAAGAAAGTAGAAATAAAAAATAAGTAATGAGAAATTACTGACTGTTCTGGAGATCTCATTCATCATAATGTATGATACAGGTGAAATGTTGAAACTTAAAGGACCATTTGAGATACTCAGTGTTGCCATCCCATAGGAAAAAGACAAAGAATGAAATACTTTACAAAGAACAGTGCTGGTTATTTTGTATAATATTATTATAAGAAATATAAGAAAAAACATGTAGTGTGTGTTTCTTTCTAGGGAATGCATCTCTAACTGTATTTCCCTTGAGTACATCTATGGTCAACAATATTAATTAATTATTTGTTTCTGAACAAAGTGGAGTGGGGCATTTTAAAGGCATTGAATTTCTAACTTCAAACTAGATTAATTTCCAACAGGTCATTCAAAATTTATTTTCTATTTATTATTGGACTTTAATATTATAAAGTCAATCTGCAACCAACTTCCTAACCATATTTTTTATAGTCAACAATTTCTTCACCATCATTTTTCAATATTTCAAGGTTAATTCTTCATCTTCATATTTAGAAATAGTTATGAAACAGTATATTTTAATTAAGTTATAAAACATGGTAACAATAATAGAGTATACTAATAAAATTAACACACATTTTCATTTTTATAAATTTAAACTTATTTATAATTTAATTTCATTTGAAAATGAAATTTTATATTGCTGAATAAACAAATGAAGAGGAGTGGTTAAAAATGTTTCACTTTTAATTTCTAAATTATTTTCTATTATATCAACTGAGAATAGAATAGAGATCTGGAAAAAGCCATCCATATAGACTACTTTTCAAATATTTCATGTCTTGTGACAGTACTTGTTTGACTAGATATGTTAACATTTATTGATTTTAATTTATTTTATTGTAAATCTTTCCTAATCTCAACTGTGAAAAATTATATTAAATTATCCAGTAATTTATAATTATCTTAACCAATATCATTAGTATACCTGAATTATTCAGGTATTATTTATTTAGATTATATGAATTTTCTTTTCCATTAGTCATTTCTATTTCTTCATTTGAGGCTTGAGTTTCTGAATGGGAACGACTTGGTCATAATATACCTTTCTAGTAAATTCCTCCTAACCGATTTAATTTTTGTTTTAGACATTTGAAAGTAACATCCTCGATCTATCTCCAACGAAATAATGTATTTCATAAAAAGTGACCTCCAAAATTTGAGGAAGAAGAAGCAACAAATTTCAGAAAATGGATGGATCTTACAAAAAAAATTATGTGAAAAATAATGCAACCAAATATTAAATAAAATTACAAATCGGTCGTAGTTTTTAACTCTTTTTGAATTAGAATTTAATGCCATGTCAATATAATAAATTCTTTCTACTCATACTGGCTGCTTTCCTAGGAAGGCTCATTAGATGAATATACATTACTAACTAAATGTTAAATTGGGTATAACTTATTAACTTACGTTTTCATCTGGGTTCCATTACTTTTAGTTAAAAAAAAATTAAAAATTATGCATATCTCAGCTATCTGGTGAAGATTCTGATCCTGAAATGGCTGATTACTAATTGATAAAGAAATACAGTATGGGTTTGCTCACAACTGAAGTTGTCTGATTTCTCAAAATAACCATTTTGATACCCCAACTGGGTTGTTAAACATTAAGTTACTAGTTGTAAGAACACAACACTAATTGAAAAGTGTTCATAGACTATGTACAGAAAAAATGGAAACATAAGTTTTTAATCAAAGCAATCTTTAAAACATAGTTGTTAGAAGACAATGATTGAATTATATTGAGATTTAAATTATTTCTCATAAAGTACATACATTAAAATTTCATATTTTATAACTATGTAAACAGCTTTCATATAAACTATAGCTTTACAATAGGATCCCAATATCCATCATAGTCGGGGCTGATAATCACTGGTTGAGAAAACCATTTAATACGGAGTGTTTCAAAGAAAAAAAACTTCAATTTTTTACTCTTATATTAGGTAATGATTTAAATATAATAAAAAATTAATTTTATTTCATAAGTATATTAATATATGATAAAGTTGAATTTATTTGATCAATTTTTTATAATTTTAGATACAAATTTCTTTGAATAAAATATTTACAAGTAATTTATTTGTTTAAACAATGATTCTGCTTTTAATGTAATTCACAAAGTTAATTTTTTGTTTAACTGAGCTTAAAGTTTCCGTACATTAAAAGAAAATTTTAGGTACTGATAACTAATATTGAAAAACTTCAGATACATATTTTTTTTTTTGAATTTCATATTGTAGTGAGATATTGACTTTTTCATAGTTTTTACTAGTATAGCAGGGGCCAGTTAAATGATTTTCTGTAGTGCTTAGTTATTACATTTTATGGTATGCTTACTTTAAAGCCGGTAAAATTGTTTAGAACCACAGTCTATTCAATATTCATTACTGCATATCTGAACCTGAACTTCTGTTGAAAATAAATAAATATAATTATTAAAATCATGATTATCTTTTGAAATAAAACATATTGAAATATTTTTCCATGTCAAGAAATAAACAACTCATAATTTATTTAAAATCTGGTTATATTATTTTTCACATAATACAGACGGGTTGTAGTTTTTCATAGAATGTATGATGAACTATTACTATTTAGTATTTTGCCTTATGTGATTGTTATGACAGGATGGTTGTGAACAGCTATGACCCTTCTGTAATATGACCATATGAATGGTTGTTGTCCTTCCAAAATTTTGAAATTACTTTTTACTTCTCGAAATGAAAATATGTCAATCTTATGATTGAGACCTTTGTTTTTTAATATTCCCTATTGTGGGGAGGAGGCACCTGTTCCTTTGGCCAAGTGATATATTGATTAAAATTCATATAAACTTCTTTAATATATTAAATCAAATAATACTCTCTGCACAGAAGTCTTTCTCGACTTTGAACAGGCATGTGACTAGTCTGGCACCTGGGACTGCTGTACAAACTGTCAATTTCTACCCCCTACATACTTTCTTATTATCCATTCTTACCTTACTGACAGATACTTCAATGCAAATCAAAATTATATTTGTTCATCCCTCTTAGCTCAGTTTGCCGACTTCAACACAATTTATACAGCTTCCCAACCCATTCTAACACTGTTATTACCATGTATGCCGATGACACATTTTTGGTATCAATTAATAATGACACTTAGGTTGCATCCCAAACCCTCTAATTACATATCACAAACCTTGAAGATTGGATTCATTAAAAACTAGAAAATAAAATAAAATTTTAATAAATCCTATCAAATCACCTTTATCCTATGTCATAAATTTATAACTTCTTGTTCTTCGATAATATTCCACTTATTTTAATCTGCAGTGAACAAATCTTAATACTCCACTTGGACATATCATCAGCATCATTTTAAATTAACGAATGTGCAAAGTTAAACAGGCTCACATTCGTTACTTTCAGATGGTGCTAACAATATATCTTACTTGGAATACAAGACTGAAATGGCAAGAAACTGCATAGTTTCTGGCTGCTCCATCACTTACTAGACAAACTCTAAGCTTTCAATTAATTACAATAGGCTCATTTACCTGACTATATTCATTTGGACCCATGAAGTTGAGCTTTGGGGCTTCACCAAATTATCAAACGTCTATTGTATCCAATCCTTACTATCCAAAATCCTTGATGTTTCACATTTTATCACAAATAAAATCATTCAAAAAGACCTTAATGTTCCAAACTTGGCTGCTGTGGCGCGATTCATATACCTTTCCTTTCATGATAAACTCCAGATTCATCTGAATCCACTTGTTTCCAGCCTTGTTTCCTCCTTGATTCCTAATAATCTTTCTAGACTTTTTAAAGGAATGTTTGAATCTTTTTAAAGGTTGTATCTCGTCGAAACTGTTTACCTCATTATACTTGATTTATACACATTCACTGGTTGTATTTATTTAACACAGTTATAAGTTTCAGTAAATAAAAAATATAAATGAAATAAATAAATTGAAACATTTATTTACAATTTAAATCAGAGCTATTATTTTAAATATTTTATAGTACAAAATAGTATGACTGGAACTAGAGGAAGGGAGAAAAAAAGGGAGACTTTATCTTGAGTATTAGAATATAGACAGTGGCAAATTTCAAACAATATTGTATTTCTAGGCTATATATAAAAATATATTTTTGCCTTTTTGATTGTTCTGACTTTAATCCATGCAGTAAAAAGATTTTAGGTTATTATATAAACGATATTTATATTGAAATATATTATCTAAAATACTTTTATTAAACTGTTGCCTTTTATTGAGGATGAGAAAAGAATAAAATCAATCTTATCCATCCTGGAAAAGATCCTAGTTCCAGCCCTGAAGAGTAGGAACTTGAAGGAATTTCACTGCTGAGACTATAAGTGTGTTAGTGCATTGCCTGCTTCCCTACATCCTCAGTCTAGGAGCACTGATTCGAATCCACTCTTGGAGGAAGGTTAAAATTTATTTTGTGGCGGACTCACAGAATAAATCTCAATCTTCCCACTCTGGTTTGAATATGTTTTGTTGTACCTCTAGAACAACCTTCCCGGTTATCCTTAAATTCCTGTGTAAGAGGTAAAGAGAAAAAAAAAAAAAAAAAAAAGGATCAAAATTATTACTCATTATGCTGTATGGATAATGATTTCATATTATAGTTTGTAATTTATTATTACAGCAAGCATGTAATATTATTTTTTCATTACAAAACAAGATAATTAACTATTATATATATATATATATATATATATATATATATATATATATATATATATATATATATATAAGGGAGTGGGCTAACTCAGTAGTAGGATACTGAGCTTCCAATGCTAAAGGTCCCAAGTTTCGAATCATGGCTCATGGCAAAGAAATTATTTATTCTGTTTCATTGGCTGTGGAGTGACCCTCCTGGGGCACACCCAGCCTCTATAAAGTGGGAATAATTATTTAAGGGGAAAAACCTGGTGGTTGAGCATTATCTTGCTCCAATCATCTCCTTGCTCAACCGTTGACCAAGAAACAGTGCTTTCTCTAAATAGTACTGAACCTAAGGCCTTCAAAGGTTGTAGTGGTACAGGTTTATATATAGATACATATATATATATATATATATATACACACACACACATATAAAATATGACATAATGAACCCAAAAAAGAAGCAGGAACGTGAGGAAGTGCTATAGGACCCAGCTAGCTAGTGCTGCTGTTAGAGAGGTTATGAATTATGTCTTTTTTTACAAGAGACCTACCTTAATGTCATTTAATTTTTTTTTTTAGTTTTTGTCAAAGTAGCACTATGGTGTGGTACTTATTTTTTCATTGCTTTTATATCATTGAGTCAACTTTATGTAGTCGATATTTAAGTGTATATAGTAGCAAGTGTCGACATATCCAGAAAGGGGCAAGGTATGACAGCTGCTCCCTCCTCCCCCTCCACTTTTCACTAAGTTCATATTTCATATGGAGGTAAAATTTTAAGAACATTTTTATGAATTTTGACTTTATTTATCAATAAAAAGACACAGTAAGTTCATTGAAAAGGCACAAAATCTTTTATGGTGTTATATATAGTTGCATATAGTTATATGCAATATAGTTGCAACAACCGAACAATTTTCTGATTTCATTATGAGAAAATCAATCAAAGTTCTTAGTGATTTAGGTTTATGGAACGTCACTTGATAACTTTTTGCAATAAACTGACGATTTACAAAACAGGTTTCTGGAAAAATTGATTTACTTCTGCTGGTTAGTAGTTGTTATTTTAACATTCTTAAAAAAAAGTAATAACAAAACAAAGACTAATACCCTTATCCTTAAATGCATTTCCTCTCCCTTATATTAATTGCCTCCCAATCTGGCTATGCTTTTTATGGTAGGGGTAATGTTCCGACAAAAAAAATCTATTATTTATAATCTTCACATTTCTAAAATTTTTAATGTTTTAAAATAAAAATTAAGGGAAGGGTAGTTCAGTAAGACATCCTATCATTCGTACCATCGGCCATGGTTAGAACATAAAACCCATCTTGGACTATCTTAGTCTTCATAAATTCATTCAATTGATGCAGGTCTTTTTATTTTATTAAAATAATTTGAATTTCTAGTGTCTGTTGTGTGATTTACCATTTATTCCGTACTATAATTTATATGCTGTGGCTCTACAAAATTAATTTTTTATTAGGTAATTTTAGACTGTTTTTTTGTTCTTATGAGTTCAGGATTTTACTATTAACAGTCTGTTTATTGATTTAAAATTTTATTTGTAAGGAATCTTTCAGTGTCCATGCACCATATTCATCTCTATAATTATAATACTCCAATTAATATAAATTAACAGTTAATTAATAACATTACATAATTTTTGAAATGCCATGCAATTATTATCAGATCACGCTATACCTTTTATTAGTTTTGTCTTTTTAAAAACATAAAAGGATAAGAACAGTGTTCTTGTTCTTCGTCTCATGTTAGCTTTCTCCGAGAATAGGTCAGTCACTATCTTACTGAGTGCTGAGGATTTACTATCAGCACCCTCTATATTGTCTTTTCTTTGTCAGTAAGGATGTCTGGGTTTGAGGGTGAATTTTAAATCGTCTGTATCTAATTTTTTAGAGGTTTTTATGATATTATTTGTCAGTTTGTTAACATACGTTACGGATTTGAATTTTTTATTATTATTTTTTATGGAAACCGGTTCTATTATATTACTATTTTCTGAATTATGGTTTGGTTCATTGTTGTTTGTATTACTTAGTGAGCTAGTGTTGAAGAATTGTTTTAGACTGGTTTGGATTGGGTGCCGGTATGTATTTAAGTTGATAGTAGGTTCATTACCATTTCTATTTTCTGTAATGCTATTGTGAGTCGTGTTATTTGCAGTACGTTTTTTAGTTACTGTTTTTATTATTTATAATTTATTTTTTTACTATTCCTAAAAGTGAAGTTTTGTTGTATTTGTTCAAAGCACTTTAATTAATATAATGGGTGCCAAAATTTTTTTATATTATATTTTATGAATTTAGAACAAATAATATATTTATATACATTGTATATTATATTATAAAAAATATATATTTATATTAGAAACAATGGAAAACAATTGTTTTAGTTTTTTTATTATCGAAGAAGTCAATATTTTGTTCCTTATAATTAATCTTGATAGAATTTGATAGGCCAATAACAGTAAAAACAAAAAATTTTTTTTCTCTTAATAGCTAAATTGTCATTCAAATACGTTATAAACTTGGAAAATGTTTTTTCCAGAAAAAAACATTTAATTGCAGAAATAACTTTTGGGTACTAAGTCAATAATAATGACTTTTTCCTGCTAATTATATTTTTAAAATTTGGTTCATTACAAGTTAAAAAATAATAGTTTCTTAGCTAGTTAATATAAAATTGGTAATTTATAAGAAAATCAACACACCATAAATTAACGAAATTCAATTTTATAAATGTTGTTATTTCATATGATTCAATATTCATTTGATTTTACTATATTAACAAATAATGTAGTATTTGTTTTTGTTTTTTATGATTATGTTAATTGTATATTACTTACCGTATTAGCATTGATAAATACTTTTGAGAGTATTTTTTTATCTGAATGTTAATTACTGTCATTAATTATATTCATCAAATAAACTCTTTTTTCTTTTCCTTTTCTATTTGCTCTTTTACAGTTTAATGAGGATGAAGAAGATGAAGACAGTGCTACGACACAGGTCATCGATCAGAAGACTTTACAAGAATTGATATTTAAGATCCTAACAAGCAATAAAATTCCTAACAGCACAGCGCCGACAGAGGAAGTTGTATTCCTCGATAAGTACACAACTGAACCTAGCCTGTCATTCCTAATTAATCCTTCAGTTTTACAGCAAATATCAGGAAAAAAAACAACAGTTGGTACAAAAAGTAATTATTTTTTGTAATTTCTCAGAATGATACTCAATAACTGATACACAACTAGTCTTGAATGACTAGAACTCCCTATATTTAGTTTTTCTCTATTTGTTAAGGCTTTATCTGTTCAAGTATTTAAAGTAAAATATAAATATTATATTTAATCAATATATGATTAAATTCATACAAAAACCCCTTTTAATCTCACGACCTTTTGTTTCACAATTAAAACATTTTATTTGTTTTTATACTAGAATTATGGTATAGTAAAAATAAAATGAAGGTGGTGAAAATAAAATAAAATAAGGTTAAGTGATATTTTGATAAATGAGGAGAAAAAAAGACTATTTGTGGAGGTTTGGAGAAAAAAAGATAACATTTTATATTTAATTAAACAATTAATAGCTTTCAGTAGTATTTTATATTCAGTAGTATTTTTGACTAATATTTTGTTGAAACAAAAAAATTTTGAAAATGGCTTTTTAGAGCCAATAATAATCCTTGTATAAGAAAAAAGTTTTAATTGTAAAATAAAAGGTTGTGAGATTAAAAGGTGATTTTATACAAACTTAATCATATATTTATTAAATATAATAATTATATAAAAATATCACAACAAATGAATAACCTAAAAAAAGTTGTTTATCGTAAAGTATAAGGGTGATATGGGTCATTTTCAAAATTTATTTTGTATATTGCTTCATTATCAACATTGCAATTTGTATGGTTTAAGTTAATTGTACTTTTTCTACTTTACTTGAAAATTTTACAGATAAAGGAAAAATAATTATAAAAAATGAGCACTTGAACCGAGTTAAACATCTTTAATTACTTCAGTATAAATAAATAAATTTATTTAAGAATAAATATTATAATCTTTATATATTATTTCTCATATTTGTAATATGAGAATGTAATCTCTCTTATAATTTGTAAACATGTTTACAATCATGAATGAAGTTTTAAATTCATTTTATTCTCCTTGGTTAGTTTCAATTATTGAGAATATAAGAATCGATTCCTCCATCTTATGTTACGTTGCAATATTTTATTTTCTTATTTTTTTTTCATTTGCTCACTGATCAAAATACTATGTGAAATATTCACAAGGGTCAACTAGTAATATGTTGGAAGAATATTATAATAGACTGTTGCAGTTTATTAAGTTTTAACAGGGTCCTAAAAGTCTGTCATGAATGTAACTTCAGTAATGTCATCTATGCCTGAGAAAAAATTATGTTTATTCTTGTTCATTTAAGTTAATAAAGAGTAACTATTTTACATCCAGTTAACAGCACATATGTTTTTTTTTAAAGACCATGTTTAGCTGTTAGAAATACAAGTTTGAAACCAGCTTCACATGATGAGTATTGTGATTCATTATTATGAATATTACTCTAATAACTTACATGAATGTAATGTTTTCAATCTTCTTTCGAATGAGTTCGTGATAAAATACTTGAGAATTGAAGTTGTTTGACTTGGAGAATTGAACTATAATGGGACCATGAGCAGTGTAGAACTTCAATAGAAGTCTTGAGCCAACATGAGAAAAAAAAAAACGATTTTTCTAGAGCATTTGTGTACTGCCTATAGCATTTATTTATTTATCAATAATTAATATGATTTTGTTTCATATTACTTTTTTACAGGAATGACAACATTAAAAAGCCAAAGCTTCAATTCCCCCGATTTCGACAGCCTTCTAAAAACAGTTGAACATATAACATCAACGATGCCTAAAGAAAAACTATTATCTCTTTTATCTAGTTTGATTAATAAAGCAGCATTGAACAAAGAAATGTCTACTAATCAATAATAAAGTTTTTATAATACGAATTGTACAGTCCATTTAAAAGTTTTTGTTGAAAAAAGCTATATATTTTTTATTAAATTTCTAAGGCTGATTCAATAAATGTCCCTTCACCTTAAACATACTTTATTAAAGTCATATTTATATATTTTTTAAAACACATTTTGAAATAGACTTAAAGTGTTTCAATATTTTAAACTTTTGATAATCCTATGCATATTAAATTTTAATCAACATTGTAATGAATCTTTGTGGTAGAGTTTAGATTTTATTTATCTGCAAATAGAATTTTAAATGATTGTGTTTAAAAATATTATGGAAAATCATCAATTAAAGTCATGCTGAACTGCTACTCTAATACCACATACTGCTTATGTTAATCAAAATTTACAATTAATTCTTATTAATTTGCCATCTGAGAGGAAAAATAATTATTAGTTTTTGTTTGTTTTATTTTTTATCATTCCTAATATTTATTTATCAGAAGTTTTTGAGGATCGGGGAGAGGTGGGAGGGTAAGTATTCGGAGATACCTATCTATCAAAGCCCACAATGAACACATTTACATGCTAAAATTTGCATTTCTCATGCATTGCCTTGTACAAGAGATGTGTTATAAATACACCAAAATAATTCTTCTGTTGAAAAAATAAATGAATAAGCCATGTATCGGTTAATTAACTTTTCAAATGGAGCATAAAATCTTAGCTGTCTGGATTTGATTCTATTCCAATAACCTCTTTGATAGTTTGATAATTTAAGATTTGGTAGAATTGTTGGCAATTGTAATTTTATGTAGCAATAAATTGGTACACTGATGTTCCTCTAAAAATGAATTACTGGAGATGAATATATATACTAAAAAAAATGATAATCATATTAGCAAAATATAGGTGAATAAATAAATAGAAGAAAATATATTAAATATATCAATGTTTATATTTATCTTTTTTTGCACTGTGGGTATGAAATTTACAGTATCGCACAGACGGATTTACGGGGTGGGGGGAGGCCTTTTTTTTCGGTAAAATATAACCATGTTTTATAAAAAAAAAATATATCTCTTGTAATATTAATGTTCGTGTAATTACATTTAATAAGCCTTCAAGAATCACTTATACACCATTTCATATAGGTAGTTCATTTCTTTCTTCTTTTTTTCAAATTAATTATCATTATATATATGGAAAAAAAATCTTTCGGGCTAAAGCCCCCCAACCAAAATTAAATCCTGGATCCGCTAGTGTAGTATCGCTAGTGTAGTATCGAGTTTCTGTAATGAATTTAAAAACGTGTAATTGAACGTGTTTATTTGAGACAAACATCATTATTTTTATTTTTATTTTATTATTTTTTATTAGTATTGTTACTAGAATTACTATATCAAGTTTTTGGAAAGTGCTGCTTTCTTATGGGTTCTACAGAAACTATCATCTTTATTTGATTGGGCAGTAACTATATGTTAGCTCTTTGGCAATGCTGTCCTCTATTGATGGTAATTAAAGATTTTCATTTAATTTTTCTGTATTTACAAAATTTCTAGACAAATCCAAGCCAACTATTTTATGTATAAGTTCAATGATATATTTAGTGTTTGCCAGATAGGAAAAAAGATTTATTAAACCATAAACTTCTATAATCTTTTATCATTTTGACACACAGAAAAAGGTATGATTCATTTAATTTTCCTTAAAAGTTAAGAATACTATTTGCTATAACTTAAAAACTTTATTTTTAACTTTAAGTTAACTTTATTTTATTATTGTTTCTATAAAACTCTGAGGCTCTAAAATTCTAAAGGTACTCGTCCCAGAATAAATAAAGCATATTATTATATGGCTTGGATACAGAAAACAATATCCCACAGTAATTTTTTTGTTTGATAAAAAAAATTATTGATAAAGTTGTTTTGTTTGATCCTTTAGTTATTTTCAGGAATGGGGGTGACTAAAAATTTTAACAAACATTTTTTTAATAAAATATAAAACAGTTTATATTTATCTATATGAGCTTCATATGAATAACATCAAAATTTTTAATTAAATTTTTCTTGTAAATTATCTGGTAACTTTCTTCTTCAATGAATTATTCTCTCTGAATTTGATACTAAAGACTATCTAGATTAATGTAAGGTACATTCAGTGATTGAAAATTCTACTTGATATGATTGTCCTCAATGGCTTTGTGCACCTGAAAAATAATTAAAATATTTTTAATTAATTATTATAATTAGTTAAAAATCTTTCATAGTTTAATTAAAATCATACTTTAAGGAAGTTCAGAAGTTAATAATTATTGTAACAATTATGTTCCTTTGTTTTAATTCTTAAAAAAACAACAAAACAAAAACAGTTAAATACTATAAACATATAAAGAAACATAACAGAGAAGTATATTGTTATATTGTAATTATAAATTAGAGTATTCCTTAGTCTAATTTATAGTATATTCTGGTTTTTGAATGTACATTGTATAAGTCCACAGTACAGACCTTTTTTTTTTTTTTTTTTTTTATTGAAATTATTTGTTAATTATAATGTTTCCAGCTAAAACTTCATAAATGGCTTTATCATATTATCACTTACAACTTTGTTATCGACAAACATTTTCAGAAATGGGGTATTTTCCCATTAAATTAACGAGGCACTAAAAATTCATGAACACTCATTTGCTTTCCAATTGAATCATAAGATCATTTAATCACAAAATCAAGAAAATAGGTGACCTACAAAATTATTGGGCCATTTGGTCTACATAACCTCGGTATTTTGACGTGTTAGGGGTGAAAGTCCAAATGGCCCAATATTTTTGTAGGCCACCTTGTGATTTTGTGGTCAAATTATCTGATGATTCTTGTTGAAAGCAAATGAATGCTCATGATTTTTTAGTACCTCATTAAATAGATAAAGTTTAACAATCTCTAGACTGAAAATGCTCCATTTCCAAGAAGTTTCATAAATATAAAAGTTGTAGGTTATGATAAGATAAAGCCATTTGCAAAGTTTGGAAAAATGTTAATAATTTGATAAAAAGGCGTCTTCACCACTGAGTATATATTTTTATTTTATTTAGTTTATGACTACGATACATTGTTCTATTATTTAATTTATTTTTAATCTTTATTGAATACAGTAAGGTTAGACTGAAGGCGGGGAATGCTTGTTATTTTTCTGTGACAAAGCTACTTAGTTCGCGCCTCTTGTCCCGAAACTTAAAAATTAGAATCTATAAAACAATTATCTTGCCTACAGTTCTTTATGGATGCGAAACTTGGCCGCTTACATTAAGGGATGAGCAGCGTCTTAAGGTTTTTGAAAATAAAGTATTGCGTAGAATATTCGGACCGAAGAAGGATGAGTTAACCGGAGAGTTCAGACGGTTACACAACGCCGAATTGCATGAGCTGTATTCGGGTAATATAATTGAGGTAATTTCATCGCGGCGAATCAAATGGGCTTGTAAAGTTGTTGGGTTTAGTAACGAGAGAATTCCTAAAAGGTTAATATTTGCTGTGCCGAATGGTAAGCGTCCGAGGGGTAGACCGAAGCGAAGGTGGGAAGATTGCATTAAAGCCGATCTGAAGGGACTGGGTTTGGACGGCGAACGGTGGAGGGAGGTGTGTAACAAGCGATTGGTGGTGTCGGCATCGAACCTTCGGGTTCGCTAAGCCTTATTATTATTATTATTATTATTATTGAATACAGTAGGATTTTATCAAGGTGAGAAATGATTTTATTTTTGGAATAGTTTTATTATCTGGTTGTTAAAAAATTATTAGTATTTTAAATAATACTTCTCTACATAAAATAATAATTTTAATATTATAAAATATTAAATATTTGTATTAGTATATACTCACTTAAATTACCATAGAAAAATAGTACTTCTTTCATCCAAAATCTCACATAATTGACACTTTTCTCACACAAAAATCTGAAAAAATTACATAATTTCAAATTAGCTCATCGTAACATAATATTTAAAAAGCTAAGGATTTTCTATTTTAATTTTATACATTAAATTACAAAACTTTGGTAATCTACTTACACACTAAATCATTTTTTGAAATAACACTTTAGTAAAATAAATTTTCCTTTTATTTATAGAAGTTCCTCAATTATGTATAAATATAGTTATCACAATGACTTATTCAGTGTAGAATAAAGGCAATTATGCTGACAAGACAGATGATGCCTAAAGACAAAAAAGAAAATAACATAAATAAAGTGAAAAATGTTAAACTAATTCATCAAAATATATTAGTAACTGAAAATATTTCTATTCAAAAGATTACAGGCCATTAGAATGACTGAACAAATTAATTTTAATTATCTGATTGAATTGTTTGAATATTTTGAAGATGTAGTTGGGAGCATCTTTTTCTTTGATAGAAGTTAATGAATGGAAATATTATGCTTAACTGTTTTGTTCAAGTATTTTAACACTCAAATATTCAAGATCTATTATGAACCTAATTTAAATTTAATAAAATTAATAAATTATTAATCTAATTTATTCCGGGTATTATATGATAAAATTAAACTTAATGGTATCAATTGGTTTATATTTCTTCTGAATAATCCTCTTATAACTTACCTGTAAATTCAACAAGCGTAGAGGAACAACTTCTTGATTTCATTTTTTATTTTATTTCATTGATTATTTCACTAATCCTTTACAACTGTTCTGATAAAGTAAAATTTATATTATGACCGATGTCACAACAATTGATATTACTTTTTTGTAGATAAAATTTCCAACCACCATCACCAAAGTTATCTTTTTTTTTAAATTATGTTCTAAATAAGATTTACTAATAGCATTTTGTTAATGTTTTACTACTGCAGTAAGATTAGCCTATTTTATTCATAAGTTTAGATATTTGTTTAAATTCACTAAATTATAAGTTAATTTTTCATTTTCTCAGAAACAGACATATAAATCCATTATAAAATTGATCCGCTATATTCTCATGTGATGATTTAAAAAAAAATTACCGTAAAATTAAGCTTGTTGAATTATCAACAGCACTTGGCCATTTTTAATCATGAAACAAATGAGAAATTAAATAATAATAATTTATATAATTACCGTTTAAAGATTTAGCCGAAGAAGAAACAGGGAGAAGTCCATGGTGCGCTGGCTTGGGATAGCTGAGGAATTGGTAGGAAGCATTGAACCCAGTACCCATTCCCCTTTTCGAACCCGATCGGAATGTAACTCTGAAGAACCTCCTTTCTAGTAATACTTCAAATGGTTCTAATTGACCACAATGCCTCCTCGATAACCGATCGGGGAAGTTAAAGAACTCGATATAATCACTCCTTGTTTTACTATTACAGCTGTAAATATAAATAATGCATGTAAATAAATAATGAATAAATATAAGAGCCGATATATTTTATTATTATTTACTGTAATTTAATTGTTAGACCAATCAAATAAAGAGTTACTTACGGAGATACTCCATCCATGTCAAAATATGAAAAATGTATTCTTATTCTGTGGCCTCTTGCACCATGAAAAAAATAATGGCACTCAGTCGCTACTGGATAAGGTCCAGGAAAATTCGGGCTGTGAAAACTTCCGCTAAGATAATCATCAGCACTATACCTGTTGATAACATTATTATAAATATTGGACAAAGTCGATAAATTACATCAGAAAAGAAAAAAAATTGGCTTTAAATTTTCTCATGTATAGAGGTAATGTAACCATTATTGTAGTAGCAAGTTTGAGTTGAGTTAAATATTTTTAATTTAAAACTATAAAAAAATTAATGATTATTTAATATTTAGGACCATTCAATGAACATAAAAGCAAAACAAAAACCTGTTATTTTATTTATTTTTACAGCTGAATTATCAGTTCAATCATGTAGATAATTTGGTTTGGGCGCCATTTTTACTACCATGATCTCACCCAATGTACTTTGTATACAAAGCATTGATACATTTGACATATATAATAAACAAGATATAGAATTGACCTAAATAATGGGAACTTCCACTAGTTATTAATTAAGTAATGAAATGGATTAAGAAATGGACTTGTTTACATTGCTCACCTGAATGCACAAGGATATTCACTCAGTTGTCTTCCAGTTTTAATTCCATAATCTGCGATTCAAATATAATATATTAATCATAATAAAAAAAAATAACAAACAATAAATAATTATTAGGTTTATTTTTTTGTTTTTGTTTTTATACATTTAGATTTCTAATTCTTGAATTTCTCCTGGTAGAAAAAATAAGAAGTACGTAGGATAGCACAAGCTTAAAGAACTTTCTTAATACTTAATTAATACCTAAAGAATAAAAAACTCATAATATTTTCTTTATAAAGCAAAAGTAAACAGACACTATCCTGTAAGCTTTTTGCAATACTTTTAAATTTTAACCTCTATGTATGTACTGAAAAATTGTTAGTATAAACAGACTACTTGATGAGTAATCCGTAATGTATATTGCCAAATGAGGGGCAATTTTCGATATGTGAACATTATCTCATGTGCAATTGTTCTAACTGGTGCTAGGTGCCTAATCATTTTACTCTTCATTTACTGGTAGATCTTCAATAAAAAAATACTCTAGAGATATCTAGATAAAGCATCTCTTGGAAAATTATTTATAGATTTTTCCTACTGCTTATGATATCTTTATAAATTAATTGTATATTTATTTATATAGATTTTATATATTTAGCATTGTATGAGTTTTTTTACAAAATTATTACTCATTTTTGTTCTGAATATTAAAAAAAATATACATAATTATTTTTTGTTTCATATATATTAAAATATATATACATAAAAACCATAAACCTACTCTTGAGAAAAATATATTCTGCTCTAAATATAGTAGTTTCATTGTCCAAATCTATTTCGAGGCGATGACCACTGGACATTATCGGTAGCCATGGTCCAGCCTGGAGGCAAGGTATCGGGATTGGTTTACGTTTTCCCTCCATCTGGTTGAACAGTTGAATTCCACAGCTGTAATATAATAACAATGTGATAATTAAATATAACTATAACTAATAACTATTTATTGCTAGTTAATTTAAAAGAAAATATGGAAACTATTTCAAATATTTTTTATCTACAAACTTTATCTTTTCACCTTATATTATATATATATATATATATATATATATATATATATATATATATATATATATATATATATATATATATATATATATATATATATATAATGATAGGATTGTTGAATTTTGACCAATACCTCCATTCCTTTCTTTTCTGTGCAATTTGGTAATTGCATAAATTTTCAATGTTTATTCCTTGTTTAAGACTAGGTTATAACAATAAAAACTCAAAATGTTCCGATTTTTGCTGATGCATATTTGCTAAGATAAGATTTAAAAGTGGTGGGGAGATATGTCATGAGATGTTGTGTTAGATGCCATTGGATATCTTATATCTTTTAGCTTAGAATAGAGTTTTCAGCTCCAAAACTTCCATCAAAGAAATAGTTTTCAGTTTTTCTCTACCCCTATCGTCACTGAATAGAAATATTTAGTTTAAAATGTGTTCTATTAGTTTTTATTTATTCCTCCCTTACTTGCCTTTCGGCTACACGGGATTTTGCAGAAATGGCATATCACAAACTTGCAAGTCATTCCTGCTATTAAATGACAAAAATTAAAAAAAAAAATTTCTTCTGTTTCCTTTATTTTATTTTCATCATATCAGTCTGGCGGCCTTCTATGAGCAGGTTCTCTTCTTTCCAGATTACAGTGTGACGGCCCCAGAGCAGCTTTCCATCCTTACACAAAATTTTTGTAATACGGGCAGTTCTGCTATGTCATTAACTGGAGAAATTCCCTTAATCTATCAAAGGACGTGATAAATGCATATTTATGGAGTAGGGCAAGGATACTTTTTATGGCATCGTATTTGGGAGCCATACATTTCATGCAGCAGTGGACTCAGGCCACACCCTCCAGTCTCCACCATACCTACTAAGCCCACCGTAATTTCACGTTTTTAGCTAAATATAAATCTTTTTTTATTATTTAAAAGTGCAATCTCCATCTTATTTAAGTTCGTTATCACTTGAACTCGATTACAGCTCAAATTTACTTCATTTTTTTTCATACAAGTACCTCCGAATTAACACTGTCCAATTAATGATAACACCTAGTAATGATTGATGGGTCCTGTCAGTTGCATCTCCAGATGTTCAATATTTATTTATTTTTAAATGTATTATACAAAATTGATTAATATGATTGGCATAACCATCTTATGCTACCAAAAATGCTAAAACTTGCTGGGTGCACTGACCTATACAAACTCGGGTTGTAGTGCTTTACATGGATGCGTATCCTCTCCTTCCCTGAGCCAATAAAAGCGAACCTACAGCGCGAGCCACTCAGGTTCGGTCCTGGGTACCCTGGTGACGTCACGGTTCCAGCCCTTCGGTATTCGCTTCTTATCAGCACTTCGCAGCTGTACCCTACGGACAGTAAGATATTATCAGTTACAGAAGAAAGTTAAGTCTTTGTTTACGTGATGTATTTTTAAATAGAGTGTTCCCTTACTTGTTGCACTAACTGCCGGACCCTCTACTGCTTTGTTTTCCTCATCTTCTGGCCTCGATTCTACAACAGAGTAAAGTTTTTAACTTGTTACGACATGAATATGATAAATAAATCTAATAAAAAGCATATGCTTCTCTTCTACTTAATATAGACATAGACATCGTGAATTCATTAATGATTTATGTTACAAACAATTATAACAAAAGGGTCGTTGAACCCGAAGGTTCGATACCACTAATTTACTGTCTACATACTTCCCTGCACAGGCCGCCATTCAAAACTAGCCCTACCAAATCAGCATTAACGATCTTTTCAACTTCGGTCTTTCTGTTGGACGCTTCCGAGTTTGCACAACATATATTAACCCTTTAGTCATTCTTTCGAACCAATTTTATATGTCCATTTTATTCGCCGCAATGTAATAACTGGAATTATATTAATCGGGTATAGATAACACAATTCGGAGTTGTGTAACCATCTAAATTCTCCGCTTGTTTCGGCTGAATATTCTACGCAATACTTTGTTTTCAAAAACCTTAAAATGTTGCTCATATCTAAATGTAAGGAACGGCGTTTCGCATCCATAAAGAACCGTAGGTAGGATAATGGTTTTGAGTATTCTAAATGTTAAGTTTCGGGATAGAAGTAACAAAAAAATAACAAACATTACCGACTTTAATCTAACCTTAATCTCCTGTTCAATTTCACCTTTTCTAGTTATTTTAGACCTCAAGTATCTAAACTTCTCTACGTCTTCAAAATTATCCCCTTCTTTTATTTCCGAAGTTGTTGCTTTTTTTACTGTTAACCATACATTTTTTCTTGTCCATATTTGTTTCGAGCCTTATTTTTTTATTAAAGATATTCTTTTTAGTTTTATAGTTTTGCTTAACAGTACCGAATTTTCAGCATAAATAGCATGCGGCGTGCATCACCTTCCTAATGACACGTTCTAATGATAAATTAAACAGAATAGATGAAAGGGAATCACCTTGTTTTAAACCCGAACGAACGTCAAATATTGCATATTCTAACTTTGTTGAATGTTTTCTTCATGCACATGCTTACAAGTTTTTTTTGGAACCCTTCCTCCATTAGTATATTATTCACTTCTGATCTATGTTACATATATCATAAAACCGTTGACAGCATATATATATATATATATATATATATATATATATATATATATATATATATATATATATATATATATATATATATATATACCCAGAGTGAGAAAGTGGTAAGACGCTACGAAGCCATGGCCCGGCCAGTAGGAGCTCGTGGCCATCTCGATGAAGATCTGGTGAGAGCTGGATATGATCTCCGTCCTGGACATCTGGTTGCAGAGGACGGCTATCACGGGGGAGAGTGCGCTGCCTCCGTCGTGCACCTTGATCACATCTTCACGATCTAGGCAGCTGAAATTGAATTATATTAGCATTAATATACTACCTCCTTGTCCACATGAATGATCAAAAACTATTCTATCTTTTGAGGAGGAGTTGATCGGGACTCCTTCTCATATTATATCGCGGTCAACCATCTCTACATCATTATTCTATCTTTGAAGGAACTTAGTCGACTGTTCTACATATCATGGGTGATAAATATTCAGGACGCAGTCTTTTTTAAATTTTTATATTTTTGCCAAAGTTTTAACCCAAACATGTGGGTCATCTTCAGGGCGTGGTTTGAGCACTGAGGGTGTTCAAGTACTCACTTCGTTGAACACTCTCAGTGCTCAAGCCACGCCCTGAAGATGACCCACTTGTTTGGGTTGAAACTTAGGCAAAAATATAAAAATTTAAAAAAGACTGCGTCCTGAATATTTATCACCTATTCTATCTTTGGAATGAAGGTTCCACTTTTCTGAATTTATTCCAAGAGATGTTGCTAGATTTTATCCTTGCCCAGCATTAACAGACCGTTTGTCACTCTTATATGTAACAGGCGCGAATAAAATATAAAGTAGCCTGAAAAAAAATGTAACCAACTCACTCATTTTGGAGAGGTTGTAGACTTGCAAAAATCGGGCAATAAACAACCAAAAAATGGAATGAATCTACTCACTTTGATAGTATTGTTTTGGTTAGAAAAAAAAAACCTACAAACCGCTTTGATCTCATTTAATTAAAATGTACCGAAATCTTGCGAGTAGTGTTGCTCAAAATCGGTCTTGATCTTGAACTTTGCAAGACCAAGGCCAAGACTGAAAAAAACAACAACGATTTTTTGAACAAAAATGAAAGCCAAATGGAGTTACCAATACTTGACAATTTTAGTTACAATATGTAAAGAATTGCTGTAATCAATATAATTTTGCAATTAGCTCTTAATTTTTCATTCGGGCTTTGTCGGGTTTCTTTAAGAGCAACACTGTTGAGAGACTCTTGTTCAAGACCAAGACTAAGTGCGCAAGACCAAGACTCTTGGTCTCGCATTTGGGCAACACTGTTAGCGAGGTGGGTGAGGAGAATATAATGAAGCCATTAAATAAGGGGAATGAGTTTTTTAAAGACATTAGATGTATATATAGTCTCCGTGTTGCCAGAAGGTATATGAAGGGAAAAGGTCATTTTTCAGCAGTTCTTCTTTAAAAATATATTTTTGTATCAATAAAATTAATCCTAAAATCTTCCCCTATACCTGGAGTAAGTAAGATAGTATTGGATTAACGATCACCTAAAAAATTTTAAAATTTGAACCCTTGTAATGTCCTTGGTTGTAAAATTACAAACAGGCAAACAGAGGACTTGTCTTTCATTTAATTAAAATTTTGAAAACTAAGAATACTAATTGCTAATGGCTAACTTTCTTTTACTTTTTTTTACAATGGAAGTAAAACCCCTTACGCCCCAATGCTCTGTTAAATCAAACCCTTTCATCCCAAACCACCGCCCTTAATTGTTTCCATTTTACCCCTTAGGGATTGGGGAAGGGTTCTAAGTATGGAAATGAAGTCGATTGCTATTCCAAGGGAGAAGAGTGTTATGTGGTCGGAGGGTGTCACGCAACCACAAAAATACCCAACGAGGACTGCTTAGCATTTTAGTATTCATGCTGAGCAGTCCACTGCCTGTAATCACTGCTCTCTTTACTTCCAACCTGTTTATATCTATCGATCAAGTTCGTAATTAACAATAGATTATGGATTATATTTTTAAATATGTATCACACATAATAAAGGTATGTATATATATATTATGCTGAGATGTATATTTTAAAAGTATATAAACTAGTAATTTCTTTGAACAATAAATATGATTAAAAATGTCGAAATATCGATATTAAAATTTGACTATCGAAACCGATATTTTTCGTAAAAAAAAATTAAAAATATTCATAAGAATACCCACCTCACTGTACATTATGTAAACATTGATTATTTTAAACATAATATCTAAGAAATATTTTATTTGGTTTATAATGAATATAATTTTTATAAATTTCAGTCATTATTATTTAAATTGTAATATATAGGAGTGAATGTGTTTTATCTATTTTAATTTCATTTAGTTTCTATCTATTATTTTTTATTTTATTTTTTTTTTGTACATAAGTATGTTAATTTTCTTATTTTATTTTCTACAATTCTTTTTCTTTTTTATCTCTATTTTAGTTACCATTTGTATGTACATATTGAGCGAATGTTTAATCTAGCCCTAATACACGGGCGGATCTACGGGGGAGAGGGAAGGAGAGACTTTAGGGTTGAAGTTTCCCACAGAATGGTAAAATATAACCATGTTTTTTGAAAAAAAATATCTTTAAAAGTATTATTGTTCGTCTAATTACTGTTAACTTCAACAATCACTTAAGACTATTTCATATAGGTAGTTAATTTCTTTCTTTCTTCCGAACTCATTATCCTAATAAATGTATAAAAAAAAAAAATCTTTCGGGCTGAGGCCCTTCCTCAAAATTAAATCCTAGATCCATTAGAGCCCTATGATAATAATAAAAAAAAATTAGCTACTGGACTCTCTCAACATAATATGCAAACTAAACATGAATTTGATTTAAAAAACGCCAAAATCCTACATAATGAAAGAAATACGAATAAGCATAGAAATAAGGAAGCAATATACATAACTAAAAACTTAAAAAACTCGGTAAATAATCATACATATGTGGATAATATGAATACTTTTTACGCTAGTTCAATTGAAAAAATAAAATTTGAAATAAATTAGCTAATATTACTTAAAATAGATCCACATATAATATTGAGAAACAGCATAATATATGTTTATAATAAATAGTCTTCCCTTACTCCTATAAGAATAACCAGTCACTGAATAGAAATGAGATGGATGACATGTGGGTGACTCATGAACAAGGTAATTTTAACTTATTTGAACCTTTAATAGTAAAGAATGGAGTAATAATAATGGTGTAAAATAATTAAAGGTGAACATGACAATAATAAGGAATTTTATTATGAGTAGACGCTTGCAATTCGCATAAGTGAAAAGGACAGGTACATGGTGGGTATTTTAGGTACATAATAAGAATCTTTATAATTTGAAATATGTTAAATTTAATATATGATTGTAAATGAAAATTTACCACCGAAAGGTCGTCATTGTGATGAGTAGTCATTAAGTGACAAAAAACTTTTAAAAATTGGTGTAAATATGGCCAACAATAAATTAACTTGAAAATAAATAGTATGCACCGAAGAAGAAGTGAGATATATTGTGAAAAAAAAAAAATATATATATAGTTTTCGATATATGACTAACCTGACGTCACCTTTCTGGAAATCAAGCTCCTCGAAGATAATCTTCACTCTCTCTTTAGGCCTGTAAAGTACAATAACAATTAGCCATTTCATGTAGAAATGATTAAACAAGGTTAAATTCCATCAAGGTCTAAATTGTAGTTGAACGTTTCTGATCTAATATAAAATAATAAATAGTTAATTTTATTTTCATTAACCGTTTTTTCCCTCCAATAAGTTAATATAGAAAGGACGTAAGGAAATACTGACACCTGTAGGATGGCAGAGCCACTTTAGCTCGACATAATGCTGGTTTATACGCGTATCCCTGGCGAACCCGAAAACAAATCTAAGCTGTTCATAAGCCTTTTAAGTCTGGCTTCAAGTTTACCAAACGACAACCGTAATCTAAGTGGGGAAATACAAGGGACGAGTCTAGACGGGTTTTAAGTGGAAGGAGATAACGTTGGCGATTGAAATGTTTGAGGGTTGATTTAATTCGGCAAGAAATTTTGGATTTTTGTTGTTTTTCTAAAATGTGTTTCTTGGGTTTATGACTGAAGTATGAAAGGAGAAATTCAGGGTAATGTAATGTTGTCCAAAGAAGGATTTAAGCAGAGTATATTGTTTAATATACTTAATATACATAAGCAGAAAAATATTGTTTAATTAATTTATCAGAATACAATCATGATGGCATTGGTCTTGTTGGCATTTAGAGTAAGATTATTGAGAGTGGCCTAATTATGTATTGCACAATGCATTGCAATATTTTTGGCATTACTCGAATAAGGAACAGGAAGGATTTTATCATTGATATGACCGGTCTTCACTTTCAGGTGTTTAAAAAAATATTTATGCTACATACTTATAAGTAATAAAAGCATTACTACAAAAGGTTTTCAAGTGTGGTTTCACCAAATAACCTCCAATATAAACAATGGTGTCCATTCTAAATTGTTTCACAAAAGCTGACTAAAATCGACACAGACTAGAATAATGGAATCTAAATTTCATGACTATGTTATAGCATAATATTAAGGTCAATATTTGCTCTGTCAACCTTCGTAAAAGTTTTTCTCTCAAACAAAAAAAAAATATTAAAAATTTATAAAACCGCTTTACCGTCACGGCTTTCGAACGGCTGAGGGTCGGTGTGACCCGTGGAAAAACCTTGACAGAAAATTTTTCCTAACGAAAATTAATGGTCCTTCGACAAGAACAAATGATGTTGCTCTCCCCTCCCCCTCTACTTCACCTCCCCCCTCGCCTTTACACTTTAAATAATTCACAACCCATTACAGTGTGGAACACGAGTGTTACATTCTGAACTCTACATTACACTACTAATCAGTTGGCACAATCACTTCTCGTATCAAATTAGCGATTGGTTAGTAATTAGCAAAACGTTATTTTTAACTGTTATTATCCAATAACAGTTTTTAGTCGCTATTTAACTTATCTTTTTTTTTTCTAATTTGAAAACGTAGTGTTCGAATTTTCAAGACAATTTCGTACGGCGAAAATAACATGTACATATGTGGGTTTATTTTATTTTACTTTCATATTACCCTAATATTTGGCCTTCAATTATTTTTTAAACAATTTGTTGTGATTCAATATTTAACATTATTTAAGTGTAGTCAAAAATGTAACACGCATAAGGGAGCGAGGAAGCTTAGAGTAAGGCATAGAGCTCATATTTTCAAGGGCTCAGATTCAAGTCCGGCTGCGGGAAATAATCATATATTATCATGGTCGGAAAATCCTTCCTATTTCTGGCTCACCCACCTTCTTCCCAGAGGCTTCGGAGGATTGTCAGGAATCGAAGAGGATGCAAAGCTAGAAACAAGTAGGTTTGGATGGGCCTGAAGTTTATTATGTGAAGCTAGGAATTTGGATTGGGCTAAGTCAGTAATATATGGAACATTAAGATCATTATGGATAATTTTATTTGTAACATATGTAACATAACAAAGGCAGTATTGTGGATTTTGGATTGTAAGGATTGGATATGAGAGGAATTTGATGGTTTAGTGTAGCCTCAAAGCTCAATTCCAGAATTCCAAATAGGCCTTATTATTGTTAAGTAAATAGTTTAATGGATGGTTAGAGCGTTTGTCCAGCAAGTGTTAAAGTAGTCGAAAACGTGTAGCATTTTATTGTCGTTTTAGTCATGTATGAGAAATCAAAGTAAGACTTTTGTCCAGATGAAGTCCAAAGTAGTGGATCTGATCAACAGAATAAGTGGTGTATTATTAAAGGATACTGAAGGACAGAAGGTCATAGATTTATGACGAAGGAGTAATGAAAACATAGTAAGTAAAATATAACAAAAAATAATGATGAATAAATAATTAAAATAAATACAGATTGAAAAGATATCTAAAATATATAGAATATTTTTGTTTGATTTATTTAGATTAACGTTCTAGTATAGTCTCCAAATTCTACTCGAAATGAAGTAACTTATCCTAATAACCTCCCTCAGCTTGGAAATTTAAACCATTTTACTAAATAGAATTTAGCGAGGCAGTAGCCGGAGCGGTAGACGGATTTGGATCCAGGATTTGGCGAACCGCTATTGGTCGAACGAAGAGAGACCGGACCAATGGCAAGCCGATAAAGGTGAAGGGTTCGGGACTCATTTCAGCGGAACTGATTCCATTATCTGGCTGGCTGCGATTCTTTTCGAAATAAAACTGATTAGCCGTAGTTGGGACCCCCGGATCTGTGACTGCTTCGGAATTAGGTTGATCTCATTTCAATAGAGAACAGTTCGACCGGAGGCGGCCACCAGTTTCGTTCACTTCGCCTCTTCTCTCTTAATCCCAATAAATCTTTAAATCACAATTGGCTGTATTTTGTTAAAAACTGTATTCCTTTGCTAAGTTATTTGCATTATTATTTCCCTTAAACATGGAATTTATATAAATATCCATTTTTGAATCTCTCAACTAGCATTGTAATACACGATGAGTCAAGAGGAACGCGCTAAACTTTGTGTTCTTATCCGAATTTCATTTGTTTAAATTTCATTGGCTAATTACAATAAACGAAATTAGCAGCTGGAGCGGAATATCGACAACGGTTTCCTCACCACAGAATTTTTGATCGCTCCAGAACTCACAGTACTGGATCACAGTTTATGGAATCGGTTCAAAGATAAGGTATACAAAGTAAAAGTAGACATTATCGACATCCTGGGATGTAGGTAATGTCTACCTTCACTTTGGCTGGCCAAAGTCGATGGCGCATGTTCCTCCCTCCCAAAGTATTTTAATGATCTTATCTTCTAAACAACAGTGCATGCGAAAGTAGAATTTAAAAAATTGTAGGTCATATACAATTAAACTATGTTCGGTCAGTTCCATGATTTCTTCTTGTCCTCTAGTTGGAAACTTTTCATTTCGAAAATGCATAACCCTTCGAAATGTATCGAAATGCATTCTGCAGCATAAAACCCCTTTTTGAGCACCTTTGGACACTCGGGATATGTTAATTAAACCTAATAAAAATGAAAAATCAGGAAGTCAACAGTAGTCATTCGAAGTCAAATTTAGAAATTAGAGGATGGTATTTCCGAACATTTATTAAAAATAATACTTTGATAACCTAAATGCTATTACATGTATGGAATATTGTTTATTTGTGAAATTTAATTTATTTGTAATTCGTCAATAAAATTTAAACAAATGAAAATAACATTTAAGTTTTTTTATTATTTTCCAGTGTGCAACCTATTTCTGGAGTTGTCATCCAACAGGGTCATTTAAATTAGAAACGATATAGTAAATCGTAATCAGTGATTGATTCTGGTATCGACTCTACATGGTTCTTACCGATCTTTTGAGTCAATTTTCAATTCGGCTTTCGATATCGGTTGGTGAATTGAAGGCTATTATCAGTTCTTTTCTTATCTTTACCGTCGTAAAGCTTTACGTTAATGGATATAAAGAAGGAGATATCGGCCATTTGGTTTTATGACTGAACCACTAACAATCATCTCATGGCTTGTTCAGCTGAACGGTGTTGCTAAGCCTACATTCAAACTCTAATTTCAGATCAGAGGAAGGCACAGGTGTTGGTTGAAAATTCCAATCTCCCATCCTTTCATCCTTACCCATGTTGGAACGATGTGTTCGCCATTCATTATATCTTCATGAATATTAAATTTGAATATAATATGTGGTTCAATAAACACCAAAGGTTTTTAGTGAGCTACCTCTTTGACGATTATTTTTCTTCTGTTTATTATTAAATGATATAATTAAGCTCAATGGAACATCCGACAGATATAATGGCAATCAAAACATTATAACTAAATTTTGCATTAAAGACATAGAATAAAAAAGGGGTATTCCCTAGTGAGAACTTAGGTTATTTTATTGATCTAGGGCCCAAACCTCGAAATGAAAAAAAAAATACTTCAGACAAGCGATTGAAAATACTGTATTTTAAAAAAAAATCAAAATTGAAAATTATAAGCAAGACAGATACCTACATACTCACCTAAACCCAGTTGGGCATACGCTCCACAGATTTAAGATTCAGTTAAAACCCACACTTAAAACACTGCAATATTTTCTATCCAAAATTTTAAGACTTATAAAAGCAACCCCTGGTACTTAAACAACAAAGCTTTATATATCGACTTTAGAAAACCAACTATCGACCAACACGTACGTATTCTTTATTCTCGATTTTATATTAAACTACAAGCACAAAATAGCCTTATAAACGACATGGCCACGGCTGACTTGTCCATTTGGAGGAACTGGATGAGAGATATCCTTTCCTCAATTAAGGGAGTAAATATAGACCAGAAAGAGGTTGTTGGATACCATCCTTCAGCATGGCTGAACTGCCATTTCTCACACAACAAAAATCTTGCATATTGTCACATTCATGACAGGTGAGGATAGAAATAGAAAGGCGAAAATAAATTATTCAATTAAGATATGGCATAAAAATAAAAACTTCTCCATCCCTCCATTAACTTTGCTGCAGGTTTAGAGGAATTTATTCTATTGAAAGCATGCCCTGTACTAGTAGGAGTTTGTTGCGAAATAGTTGGGACTATTTATATAATGTTGTAGTTCACAAACTATTATTAGTTTGTTAACTAGTATTTCGCAGGAATGTGAACATCATGTTACAATATGCTGTTTATGAATAGAGTGTGTGTCTTTAACTACTTTAGAACATTGTTTACAACTTGTTAAAAATAAATCCATTCATTAATATTTCATCGCCACAGAATGAATCTATAGACAAATTTTCCATAAGAAAAACACAAATAAAAATTATGATTTCAGAAAAATAGACTAGATTTACCAAACCCAGAGGTACAATCTCGTTTCTATGGATATCGTATTTTCTCAGAATTTATTGATTTGTCAGATCCTTTTTTCTGAAATTTGAAAAATATAAATCTTAAAACGAAAGTACATCCCCCTTCGTGTGAATACATCCAAGTTATGTGAGAAATTCTGAATTTTTGAATACGCGAAGATATTGGCGAAGTAAAATATATACGCATCTGGTTCAAAGAGTTCAGTCGGAATGATTTACCTTGCCCTGAAGTTGTAGGCACATCTAGCCTTCCTGGGGTAACTGGAAGGGTATCCTAGGGAATAGAAGACTCCAGAGGTTGAGTTGTGACCTGTAGTGGTTCTGGAGAAGAGGTAGTCGCAGGAAGTACCAGGTACTCTCTCACCTTCAGTCCGGTAGCCGTCTGTAACAGTCATATATCAACATTAGTTATATATATATATATCTAAATTAACGATTGGTATATCATATAACAGGAAAAAAAATAGTTTAATGAAGAAGTAAAAATAAAATCGTCTGTCCAGTATGGAGGTATAGGTTTCTCATAATTTCTATTGAACAAACAAAGAAAAAAAAATGTTTAATTGTTTATTTCAACATTTGTTGGCAAAATGACAACAGTCGCAAGCTAAGTAATATTGCTAGTGAATAACAACAAGCATTTCCTGCCTTTTACATAGCCTTAACTTCCTCTTCAAGTTTGTTTTGTCTTGTTATTGTAGGGCCTAAATATAAAAAAATATGTGCAATATATAAAAAATCTGTACCACTACAATTCATGAAGAGTCTTGGTTTGAGTTCTTTGTTAATGAAAGACTAACTTGTTTCAAGGCCAACGGTTATAAAGGGAGAAGGACGGGTCAGGATCACGCTCAACCGCGTGGTTTTCCTCCTTAGTTAGTTATTTTAATTAAGGGTGCCGACTTCGTAGAAGCTGGGTGTGCCAAGGAGGGTTTCCCTATCCCAGGGTCGCTCCACGGCCAATGAAACAGCATAAATAATTTTTTTGACAGGAGACGGGATTCGAACCTGGATTCTCAAGCTTTGGAAGTTCAGTGCTCTGCCGCTGAGCTACTCCACTCCCTACGTGCAATGTATATCTCCCGAACGTCGACGACTATGAATATCAAATGAATTACTTACCTTGACATTTGCATCTTTTTTGACTGTATCTTATTTTTTCTGAAAGCATCCCTTTAGATATAACTGTAATACCTCCATCAATTTATCATAATAATGAAATTACAATTGGAAGTGAAATGGGATTAATGCCTCGTCTACAGTATCCGTGACCAGGAGTGGTGCAGAGAGCGTGGAGATGAGTTTTGGTGGCAATTGTAAGGCGATTAGGACGAAGAGGGAGGGGAATGTAATTGGATGAAAAGGAGTTGGTAACAAGAGCGGGGCGGGAAGGATTGGAGAGAGATGGCGATCAAAGCATCGTTAAGTCTGGCAACAGCTGTGACCATTTGCGGATATATCTCTAGGGATGGATCCAGTACATTTTTGAAGTTTGAAATAGGATCAATTAGATAACATGTAATTAGCATCAATTATATATAATATACATTATACAAATTTCAATTTTTTACGTATGCTTACTTAATATTTTTGTTTATATTTACATTAGCTTGATAATTAGTGCTTTAAAAAAATATGAGAATATAATAACTTAACAAAATCTGGATGGAAAATGATTTAAAAAAAAAGAAGAAATTCTTGGACATTGATAAAAATAGTTTTTGTTAATATAAAAAAAATCATTATATTTTAGATTGAAAAGCAAATGTATATTCATTATTGTTTTAGTAAATGTCTTATTATTATAAGAAATTCTGCTATATCTATATTGTTTTAGTCAACCAGTGAATTTATATGATCAAACTTGAGGTAGACCGAAGCGAAAGTGGAAGATTGCGTTAATGCTGATTTGGCTGAGTTGAAGAGGTCGATGGATGAATGTACGTAAACGATTGATATCAGCATCGAACTTTAGGGTTCCCTGAAGTTTTATTATTATTTTCTTGTTGTTTGAATTCATCTTAAATATAATGGTAGAGGTGTTCTTCCGCTGCAATTAAAATATACCACTACTCAGTTTCTTCTCAACCTAATATTCGATCTGATAAAGGATAAATTTGTGGTTATAATAATGAGCTTGGTTTACAAAGAGTAAGATGAGTTTCATTTTGTCCAATGGAAATGAAAGGCGGATGCTATTTCTTCTTGAGGTTCTAAGTTCTTAATCGCCCCGGTGTATTCAAACCCTTTCTTCATTTCCTCTTCTAATTAGGGCATCCCTTGGCCCAGGATATTTTGAGAAACAAAAATATTAATATTTTTACTGGTAGCGTCAAATTGTTTATAAAATATTTTGTTAAAACTTTATTTATTTCTCAGTGATATTTAATTGAATATATATATATATATATATATATATATATATATATATATAGAGAGAGAGAGAGAGAGAGCGAGAGAGATTGATGTTTTCAAAAACTATATTCAATAATGTTCCGTGACGTTCATGAGATTTATTTTTCTTAACAATTACATGCAGGTATCAAAATGATTATTTTCCATCATGTTTGCAGCCATTTTCAACAGATAATAATGACTGACACAAAAGATTTATAATATTTTTATAGGTTCCTATCGGGAGCTATGAATTTTAGAAACGGTAGAACATAGAATATATACACTTTTTTATTGTTAAATTCGTATCACTTACAGTAAATTGACAACATATTGTTTTAATGTAATATCGATTAGAAAAATATTATTATTTCTTAAGATATTACTATTGTACCAATGTCTAATATTTAGAACAAATAAATATTTAGAATACATAAAAAATATTTTTAGGACTTCATAGATTTAATATAAATTACACCAATATTAAACTTAGAGTGCTTGTGCTTTATTTATGTTATTATTTAATTATAATATATGATGTACCTACATTGATATTTTTAAGGCTACACTAATTTATAATATAGAGATATCATTTACTTTTCAGAGAACCGTGATTACATTCTTTTTATATTTGTTTACTTAAACTATTTTTTAATTGTTCACTTATATCTACATAAAAAAATAGATTATTGATATTTTTAGTAGCTGAAAAATTATTTCAGCTATGAAAAAAAAATCTTAGTTAAATATATATCCAAATAATTCGGAACTAGAAAATTAAATTAAGGCTGGCGAACGAATATCCTCATTGCTTGACGGAGTAGAAATTGAATTACTGTAATGTTGTTGCCGTGGAATATGGCTGTATACTTCTGACTTCCTTCAAATATCTAATTTAGTGGAGTGCTGGTGACTGTGCGGTTTGGATCTCTTTATGTCTGTTGATTTTAAAAGTGTCAGTTTTGTTAATTCGTCTAATAATCGTTTTCAGTATAGTATCCATTAAACAATAAATAATTTTACAGTGAAAATTTGATATAGGATAAACATTAAAAAAATAATAGTTCGCCATATTTAAATTTTTTTAGTAATAAGTGTCACAAATCGATTGTTAAAAAAGTATTTAATGTGTTCACATTTAGCTACAATTAGAAGAATCGTAATATTTAAGATTTTGGATTTATTCATATTTTTCGAATCGCTCAATAGATGGTGATTATATTTTTTTGTTAATTCTCTCCACAGTATTTGTCTTTATTATTAATAATTTTAAATGCTAACTCTAAACAAAATAAACAAAAATAATTAGGTTCCATTTCTGATTAATATGAACTTGTTGCAATAATCATTAAATTGTGTATTTTTCAAATAAAAGAAACAGGTTATAAATACCTTATTTTATAACAATTTAAACTCTGAAACTTTTCCCCCAAATATTTATACTTCAGTAAATTAATATGTATTTATAGAAATAATAATAATAATAATATTAAAATTAATGCTATGGGCTCAACTTTATGTATAAACGTCATCTGATGTATCTTTTTCATAAAATTTTCATTATAACACATTATGTAAATTTAAATAATATAAACTGATAAGTTATTTATAATATTTTAAAAATTGATAATGAAATACCTTTGATTCATATTATAAAAAGGTTTATTTTACAAATATATGTGTAAAGTAATAATTTTTGTTTGTACAGACTATACAATTCAAGCGCCAATATGACTCTTCATGATCAAGTTAGCATCTCAGTTTTTCAAATATGTCGTGTGCGGTTCGGTCTGTGTTCAGTGGTGTTATCTTTAAATATGTGAGAGTTTATCTGTGAATGTGTGTTAATTTTTATTTCTCTGTGTTTGTTCAGTGTCCGATTATCCATTATTTTACTTCAGTTGCAAAATATTGAACTTCAAGATACATTTTGGAAACTACTGTAAGTAGAAATTCTGAATAGTGCATGATAGTACTTACTTATATGGGTTTTTTCTTTTTCCACATGGTACGTTAAATGTTTTCAAATATCACACTAGAAAATACATTTTAATATATCTTTTGGCATTATTTCAACGCATATTAACACATTAACATTTTTTTTATGTATATTTATTTTCCTAAACTGATAAATTAAATCTAATGCTAATTATCATAAAAATATAACTTTTGAATGATACATATTAAAAAATTCAATTAGAATTCAATAGAGAAAAGTTAAATACATTTGTTTTAATATAAACTAAATTGAAAACAATTATAATTAAATAACAATTTAAATGTTACTAGTTCACAATGGTCATTCAAATATGGCGAAGATATTTTATAACTTATTAAATATGAAGGAAACTCATTAAGTAATTCAGACGTTTTTCTTTTCCTATCTTTCTTAAATAATACTTTCTAAATGTGAAAATGTAGGAATTAGGAGTTATTTAGCACGTTTTTGATATCTTTCCCTGAAAAATTAATTTAAAAAATGTTTTTATTTTTCTGTGTAAATATTATAAAGTGAAAGTGAACTAAGATTCCGCCATATTTCATAGTGGAAATTTCCACTGAGATTCTTCGTTGAAAGTAATGCATGCTCATATTATTCTGGTTTATTATATGTATTTATTATGTTATTTATTCATGTATATTTTTTAAAATCTAATATTTGACTGAAAAATATTGAAAATTTGCTTTTAGCTTGATTTTCTTTGAAGTTTTAATTTTAAATGCTTAATCGAGAATCTGTTGAGGCGTAATATTTTTAAAGAGCCGTTATTCAAGTAGAACTTTAAAACGAAGGCAAATACAGTTGATAAATTTGTTCAATTTTTAAGTTCAATACGTCTTAAATGTTTTTGTTTTTTATAGGGAATATAGGAATGTTATTAATAATTAAATATTTTTACTGATACTTTTCCAAACTTAAACTAAATATTTTTTATAAATATGATAAAATCTCTAGTTCATTTTTCGTTCGTCAATGAAAAAAAATATCTCTTTTATTTTT